ACTTCTTCGATGGCCACCACCGCTGCACTGGACGCAGCATCCCATGTCGCTTGGGCCTGGTTGGAGGAATGCGGGATGTCCACTGGGCCTAATTTTCCAGGAATTCGGAATTCCTATCAAAAGCCCACCCATCTTGCTGCAGAACGTGGGAAACAATCTGGTTGAAAAGGTGACATCACCCATCCCCAATGGCAAGCCATTGGCCTTTTTTCATGATGCCTGATGCCTCCGTGGTGGATTCATCCCAATGGCAAGCCCTTGGATCAGCGATGTCTGCCTCACAGGCCTCACACAGCTTCCTGCCTCTGCTTCTGTCTCACTTTGCGACTTGACCCTGCGCTGCCTCCTCACCTCGCTGCTTTCGCAAGAAACACGTGGTTCCAGACATTGAGATGGCTGCCGTGCCCATTTGTGTCTCAAACGGCACTTGCAGAACAGCACAATTCAACAACATCTAATATACAAATCCAAAAAATCGTGTATATATATATGACATTATATTACGATATAGTAATTATAGTATATGTGTCAAGTTGTTCCAACCCACTTGTGGTTCTTTTCCTGCCTTCGGCTTCCGGGTCAGCCCGCTGGGCTGCGATGCGAATGCCGCTGCTTCCGCTTCGTTCACAGCTTCCGCTGGCCGATCGATGCCAATCTTGGTGGGTGGAAGTGCCGCAACAGCTGGGCTGCCAACCTGATAGTTGATGACAACAAATTTGGTCAAGAAGCAGTGGAATACAAACTTGGATCCAACAGCGGATCTGCCCAGCTACCCCGGAAGGAAACGATGGTTGTACCTTCAATGCACGTAGTAAACAAAGTGAAACACCAGCACACTCAAATCTGAGACCAAACATGTGCAAAAAAACAATGATCATCAATTGTATTTCGAACAACCCTGCCACCGCAACAGGTGATTGGGAAAATGGAAGGACTAATGACCTAGTGACATCACGTCTTTCTTGTTTTGACATACATCTTGGTTGTCTATGAAGTCGAGAGCGATGTGGAGTTTTGCAAGGCCCGTGAGGTCAAGCGACACAGCGACGTGAAGTCTAGCGTGACATGGGAGACCCGCAAAGAAGAAGTGGAGGAGAAAAGGAGGATGATGATGAGGAGGAGAGAACAGGAAGTCTGACATACAATCTAAGAGATCCTCACCTGATAAATAAGAAAATGTCCACTAAGTCACTAAAACATCCTTTGAGCATGCTCATATGTTCATCGTCAAGAAAGTTGCAAATCTGCTCTACGTACATGCGGAGACAAGCTGGGCGTGGCTCCACAAACCCATAACGGCACACATCTCAACAGGAGGTCAGGACCAGCCCATACAAACCCCCAACAAAACCAGTCTGGTTGGATCTTTTCTAACAAACATGGAAGCAAACGATGACCCCTTCCGGGGACATGTTCTTTCGATTTGAAAGGTGTTCAGGTATTAACTCGGAACACCAAGTGGCGTGGCAGCTGGAGTGGTCATGCTTGACCACATGTGTGATTCTCATGTCCTCAGCAGTAGCATGGTGGAGTCAATGGGCCTGCTTGTGAAGCTACGGTACCCTGAACCAGGTGGCTTGGCTTGGTGCTTTGCATGTCCGCCCTCCGCGGTGTATATTATACATATATACTGTATGCATATGTATATACACATGTGTGTACACTGTGTATACCTATATAAATATACAGTATATATGTTTATGTGTGTATATGCTGGATGCATCTCCACTATAAACGGCCTTCCATCATACCCGCCTTTTGCAAACACAGCAACAGCAAACCTCCGAACCTAGCCTAGTGTCAAAACAATAAATATATTTGATACTATATGCAATCCTAAACGGATAAGTACTCTTGCTGTAGCCTTGGCACATCGTAGGAGAGTAGAAGCACAAGAGCCTGACATCATCACTCACTGGAGAGTGATAAGTATATATATACACTATACACATGTTCCAGTAATTATCTGTGTTGAACGCACATGTTTGGTTGGAATTGGTTTGGCAGCCATGGTATCGCAGCCATGCTTTGGCACGTGACAAGCCCTGTTGCTGTTTTTGGTTAGTGCATGGTTCCCAAAACCAGCACGAAAGAGTTTGGTCGAAGGCAATTCGCAAACACAAACCTTTCAGTGGGCTGCAAAATGTCAGGACTGTTTCCTCTTCTAACCTTCTAGCTGAAACAAAAAAGATTCCGCAGCCAAATCCTTCTGTTTCTAGTTCTTGGCTAAGAACTTCTTAAACGGCAAAAAGGAGTCTTGACCTGAAACAGGGACTCCTGAGCACCTGCTGGCGCAACAGGTGCATTACAAACATGTTTGCAATTAGGCAACATATTGATGTGAGGCAGCTTTAGCAAACTCTGCTGTGCTAGGAACACAGAAGTTGGACTTTAGCAAACTCTCAAGGAACTCTCAAACCTGTAAGACTTTAAAGTTCCCTCAGCTTTAAATAGCCCAAGAATTCTCCAAAAAGTTTTGACTGGATGCTCTACAGGTGGAAAAAGGATCAAAAGGGGAACCATTTGTATGTACAGTACATACAAGAAATATACAGTACACATAAGCACATAAACACATGTCTCACACTGGCACTTCAAGTGCCAATCATTCCTGAAGGTTGAAGTTCGAAGTGAGTGCTTTTGCTGTTACACTACTATCCAAAGTGTATACAAGTGAGTTTGCCTTGTGAGTTTTCTTATATAAAGGGAATGGGCTCCTTTGGGTAGAAAAGGATGTAATCGAATCAATGAAGTATGAACATGTGTTTGTTTTTGGTCGAACTTGTAACCTGTGTTAGAGGAATATGTCAACAACTTGACCTAGAAAAAGGTGCGCTTAGACGTTCTTGGACAGAATTGAATCAAAGTACCACCTGTTATAAGACTTTTATAAAAATGGGAGCACATATAATTAATATATATATATATATCATATTTTATTACATATTTTACACTATGGGGAGGCTTTGCAACTCCCGGGATCTCAAACCATTTTAAAGGGACCTGGCCACAGTGCAGACCTGTCTGCTAAGCCTCTTGGAGTTTCCCAACACCGGGTCCGCTGAAAGCAGTCAAGGTCACTCTTTTCCAACGAGTAAATTTCGGAACCATTTGCGTCTTCTCCTCCATGAGGAAAAGCCTTGGCGCCAACTGTTTCCCGTTTTTGAGGTCTCTCACTGTATGCACAGAACAACTCTTATCTGCTGCCAACTGCCTATGTGTAACCCAGCAACTGCTCGACAAATCCACTGTTCCACAGGATGAGCTAATTTGCAAGACACAAGCCCGTAGATTGCAGATCTTCAATCGGCTCATTAGCAATTCAGCCAACACCTGTCGCCCCTATGGATCCACATGCCCTCTGAGAGGGTCATTGGAGACACCCCTTCTATGTCGGCCAAGTGAGGGTCCAGTCATACCTAGCCGGGCAAGTGCCGGCAAGTACTGTATACCAAAGGCATGTCAAATCCGACACTGCTGGCAACCTCGGGCAGTAGAAACACCAAGCCGCAAGGAGTTGTTAAAGTCCTCCTGGATTTCTTTCCTCGGTTCCGTTTCATCCGATTTCATCGGCGTCGCCTGTATCTGACAACGATGGCTCGCCAAAAAACAGGACCATAAAACCACAACCCACAAAGAACTGAATACATTATATAGTTATATATATATAATGTCTTTGCCATGTTCAAGAGTAGATTGCCCACATTCAAAACGACTGTTGGACAGAAATCCCTAACAAAATGGTGTATTGTGCCATGGGCCATGGGCTCTGAACTTTGCAGTGCTGTCATACTTCAAACATGTGAGCATGTTGTTGATCCTGATCGGGTTCGCCACAAACACCGCAGTAACTCATAAAAACCATAGCTCCTAATAGCTGATTGAACAACTTTAGAACAGGTCGCTCAAGCCCAACGCAGCTTTTCTACGACTGCAGCAAGATATTAAATGCCTAGCTTTCGTCCCCCTTGGGACTCTTCAGGGCTTTGCAGCCGCAAATGCTGCGATGTTCAATCACATGCCTATACATCGCCCATTCAATAACCTAGGCAGGTGCAAACTGGACATGAACAAATATTTTGTGTTGTTTGTTGTTGTTGCTCTTGGAGATGCCCCGAGCAGTAGACCAAGGTTATCCATGGCGTCCTCCAACGCGCGACGAATCGTCGTCGCGACGCGACGCGGTGAGCGTTGAGCGATGTTCTGATTCGGCTGAGCGACATGGGCAAATCATTGGGATCCGTCCCGAAGGGCTGATCGATCTCCTGGGCACCACAGGACTTCTTGTTTGAAGCGAGCGGGTGGAACCAATCCGGGCTGCCAAAAGGGGAAGGCGCAGCTTTACAGATCGAACCAGATCCGAACAACATAGACTCCTGGCACTGTGAATTTCTTCGGAGCACCGGCAGTTAGCCGAAAACATCCGGGCATTCCGGAGTGGCGCGGTATATGCTGCATATACAAATTGCCCAAGAAGATCCAAAAGGAGCTACCTGTTTTATAGCATCCAGAATCTACACATCCACGGGTTCTACATAATCAACCAAGCGACGACCGACGAACACACTCTGACAATGGTTTTCAGTTAACTCAGTTTCCCGAGAAAAGGAATGGCTCAACGGCAAGGTGAAGAGTCCGATCAAATTGAAGGTGTTTTCAACAAAAGGTTTGTGCGCATCTGCAGACTGGCGACAGCAGCGGACGAGCGGCGGACGGCAGCTGAAAGGCGGCTGTGGGAAAGCCTGTTTATGGGGTAAGAAACGTGAAAGAACCATGAATCAAACCGTGCAAAAATAGGGTGGACAGCTTGTGCAAAAGTTGTGTGGCAGGTACACACCAAAGCGTCCTTTGGTGCTTCCCATCTCGCTGCCTAGCTTTGTTAGACCAGGTCAGCAGCGAGATGCCTGGTCCCCCTGCCTTATGGAGTAGTGGTGGTGGAAACAGTGGCATTGAACCCTTTGGTACAGGGGGTGACGCACACACACACACACATACACACATCATCCTGCTTGTCGCAGCAACAACACCCCCCACAAAAAAAAAAAGAAAAACAAACTTCCAGAAATCTGAGACTCATCAGCAATATGATACAGGGACCAGAAGGCCGTCGTCACACAGAAGGTGGCCATGGTCGCCATGTAAATGTTCTCGATGAGTTGACTGCTGAGGACCTTCGTCACGTTTGCTTAAACTTTCACAACAAATGCAAGCATGTCCCCAAGTTAAAATGTACAAACACACATATAGGGTATGTGTTTGGGGACTGTTGATGGGGTCTCTACATGTCCCCACCAAAGGAGCCCTTGCGGGGAAAACATGAGTCTGTGACGCTGCCGACTGTGGCATATATAAATGCAATCCAAGGGTACGGGCGTCACCAAAGTGTAAACGGTCAACATAAGGATAACCATCTGCGAGTATGGAAAGGGAAATGGCACCTGGCGGATGGATGAAATGTCTAAGGACACAGTTCCTTCAATCATAGGGTCGCTGAAAAGGGGTAGCAGCGGGATAGCATTTTCGAATGGTATTTGGAAATAGCTCAGGGAGGCATTTCGCTTTGGTTCTAGTGAGCGGCTTTGGCGCCTCACAGAATCCTGAGGAAGTTCTCAAACTCATGTTTGAATGTTTGAGAAGTAGTGAGCAGCTATAGCAGCTAATTGACAGCTTAAGCCTGCGTAGATGTCAGTCAAAGTCGGGCTCGGTACGCAGTCATGTGGAGCAGGGAGGCTGATAAAATGAGGCTCTGGGAGCATCTGTGAACACAAGTGTTTTAAGTTTTGTATGGCCCTTCATGATTGGACGGGCAGGTCATACGTGTTAGGACACTTTCAGCCAGGTTAGATAGATACGAACTAAAGAAAAGTGCTCGGTGCAACGCGGTTACCTCTGCCTGGATTGTAGTTGGAGCAAAGGAGATCAAATGAAGGACACTGTACATCCATCTATATATCCTTTACAGCTACAATTAGAAGCTACTAGGAACAAGTGCATCGCTTCTAGTAACAAGTGCCTTACTACTAGTACCAAGAAGCTATTAGGAACAAGAAGCTATTAGAAACAAGTGCCACGCTACTAGTAACAAGTGCCTTACTAGTAGTAACAAGAAGCTATTAGGAACCTTTACAGCTACAATTCAGAACCTCTATAAGTCTCTTGAGCGCTGCAGTCCCTTCGGACTCCAGTCACCAGTCCCTTCGGACTCCACCGGCGCCTCGCGTATCTTGCGCACGCGGTAGATGTCCACAATGGCATTGGAGAGGTCCGTGAGCGATCGATTGAGAATGGGCGGTGGAATCTTCAGCACTCCCCTGAGGTCGGCGATGTTTTGTGTCAGAGATGTATTGTGAAGAGAATCATTCAAGATCTCGTGAGGTTCAACCATCAAAAATCTCACGGTTTGGTGGCAAAGTCTATGCCCGCATTCCTTTCAATGTTACCAATTCTTCTCAAGTAATGAGCACATGTTCCCAAGCGTCCTTAATACGGGAATTTAGGTCTATTACAGTATATGGCATGGCTTTGGCAAATCAATAACACTTGCTTAAAAGGACATCATTTTAGAATACAATATGTTAGGGCTTTTTGGCCTGAGGCTAGCCAATTATTAAGCATATCCATAGTACCATGAATGAGCTATGTAAAAGGATCCTAGATGCACAAACGATCCTAGATGATCCTAGATGCACAAACCATTATATTGGCTTCTGGCTGGGGATAAACGTCACAGCCTAAAAAAACACAACAAAGGTTGAAAAGGGGCACAATTCATACACAGTAGGAAGGATATGCAGTTTGTGGTAGACGTACCTCCCCTCAGTACCAGGACGGCGCAGTACCTACATGGCCTTAAAAAGTATTATCTGAGGAACCCATCATCGAACATGGCGCATCGAAACGCCCCTGCCCGCGCTGCCCAGCCAGGGCTCTGTTCATTCGTTTTATCTGCATACAGATTATTGATCATCAGCTTTGTGATCCATTGCATCTGCAACGTGTGACGAGCCGCCCGTTGGCGAGTGACGGAGGCCTTCTGCCTTCTTGTGAGGTGTGCAAAACAGGTGCCAAAATCACGAAGACCTGTGGCAGAACGGGTTGCCTGGGAATAGTAGATAGGTCGATTTGGATCGATTTGGTATCATACTATTGGTTGTTCACTTGGGGGTCATATCCCCCTATATTATCTGTATTTATCAACAAAACGCCGGATTAGAAAACCATCTTCGCAGGCGTTGGCAGGCGTTGGCTACCAACGCTTTGAAGTTCAAATCATTGGTATATCCCATTACCAGTAACGGTTTATGACGATGATCTTAAAAGGCCTTTCCAAAAAATAGCGACATATTTTTCCGTCTACTACTGGTACTGGTTAATGGGACACGCCCTACCATGCATAGATGACAACAGGATACACCGACGGCCATCCAAAACTTCTTTACGGCCAAGATGCAATGACTTCGCACCGGGAGCATCCCTTCTTGCGAGGAGCTTCCTTTGCATTCGTTGTGGAGGCTCTCTTTGGTGTCTTGTTGAAATTGTCTGCATCTTGTAAATGTCGAAGACCTGGGCCACAAAAAGAACACATACAACACAAACAGCCTCTGAAAACGGCGTACCTTCGCAAGGGTTGGAATGCTTGGCAAGTGCAAGCAAGGATATGCAAGGACAAAAACAAGTGCCGTTGAAATAGATTCCCCCAAATGTCCTGGTGGTGATACATCGCGGTTGTTTGTTTCACCTACCCTTCCTTCTGTTTATTGCAGCTCCAAGAACAAGCTCATGTGACCATGACAAACGGAGTCCAAATTACTTGAGGGCTCGAGGATCCCTTTTTCCGGCCCTCTAATTTGCGTGAATGAGTAGGCCCTTGCCCACCCACCATGGAGGGTTCCAAATCCCAAACCTCAAAGCCCAAAGCCATGGTAGGTGAACCTCTTTTGATAGTCCAGTGCATTCATGTTAGAGACAAAATTAACATGCCGACACATCACATCACAGGTCGTACTTGCACAAACACGCTGACAACTTGTCTCTGCTAAGGTCTCCCGGCTCCATTTCGTGCCATATTTCTCTTTGTACACTCACACGCACACCCGACCAGCTCGGTTGCTTGTTGGGGTCGGTGTGGGGGCGACACAGGAAGCAGTGGTCTTCCGGTGGTCAAACCGGTCTCCCAGCTTCAACCCCATACACAAGCGATCACAAGCGATCTATATATGCTGCATGTGCACGATCACCCCTGCGGTTGGTTCTCCAAATGAGCAGGGTCCCCGCCCAAAGGATTCCAAAAGCATCAAGTTGGTGCACAGTTCAGTACTTGGTCTGTTGTGGCTCGGCTTGGGCCAACCAAGAGTTTCCGCAGGCCCTTGATGTCAGTTGATGTCTACAGTGTCACAAGCCATTTGTCTACACTGACTTTACTTCAAAGAATGCATGGATATGAAATACATATCATCTGGGAAAATGAGCACAAAAAGCCAGGAGGAAACCATCTGATCTGGCATAACCATCCAGGTTCACCATCCAGGTTCACATTCCACGAAAGGTTGGCTCCACCAGGTGCGCCCAACAGCTCCACCAGGTGGCTGCTTTCATCGATGCCATCCAGGTCAATCACCTGGTCACGTCGTCGGTCACGGCAGCTGCAGCGCTGCCGTAGCCATCCACTCTCCCTGAAGTCCTATGAATAAGTCATTTAGACTTAGACTCTTGATTGATCAAACCTTCAAACATAAAACATGCAATCCAAATGGGTAGGTTAATATCAAAAAATATCAATGTCATTCAATTTCATCAGCATTGCATGACCAGCTGGAGGTTCCATCAAGTCTCCATGCAAAAGCATGCAGTTGACGAACGCTTGATCGAACGCTTCGGTGTCGTCCCATCGGACACGTTCTGCGTAACTTGAACGGAATCAAGGCGCAAAGTCACGGCGATATTTTATGAAATTATGTATAATATGTATACCAAGATATTATATGATATTATGATATTGTACCATATTCTATGTGCAATATGTATACTATATATTCCAAACTTCTTAGACAAACTCAGTCGGTGTACGGAGATAGATTATGAGACTTGCCTTCCAAAGCTATGCATCTAACAATGAAAATACCTTGCTTCCGTCGGTGGGGCGTAGCCGGCGTAGCATCCGAGTAACCGCGCCTGCATGACATCTTGACGCCTGTCGGGCTCCTCTCCTTCATCTTCGGAGTCATAGCAAATCTCACCTGGTGAAGTGCGCACACGTCAGGAAGCGGATTGTGAATCGATCATCGATACCCTTGAAACATCCGGATCCTGGTCCGGTTGGAGGGCCCACCAGATCCTCAGGGGTGTCGGTCTTTGGGCTCGTTCCAGTCAGCCAAAGAAACCGTGAGTCAGCCTTTCCAGTAGAATCTCGTCTAGCATTTCTGCAGGTGAGCACTTGAGAAGCCGCTGTCTGTCGATGGGGGTTTTCTGATGAGGCCCGTTGGTCTTTACGCTATTTTAAGCTCAACGGAGAGACTTCGTGGTGAGTCTGGAACCCGATTCGCTTCGGTCGTGGGATTGTTCCTTAAGTCCTTCTATTGAACTGTTCAGCTAACTCTGGACAAGTGTCTCATAGCCGTGGCAAAGAGCAAGCTGATGAGGCGTATCATGAAATGCTGGAAATTGCTGACTTCCTCCTGCATCTCCTCCCAAGGCCCAACATGCAAAACATATCGTGCTTTCTGCGCAGGAAAAGGCTGGCAGCCGTGGTGTGGCGTTCATCCCATTTACAGGTGAGAATTAGATTAGTCAAAGGTCCCCCCTAAAATATCAGTGTCTGCCTGTCAACAGTAATATAAACAAACAAACGTTACGACTGTCCAACACTCCGACTCAAAGCTGCAAACAAATACAAACGTCATGAGCATCTCCCTGGTTTGGGCATCATGCGGCATCACAATAGGAACATATAGGACCTTCAAGCCTATAAGAAGCCTAAAGCCAGTAGCTCAGAGCAGAGCCGTGCCTGCTTGTTGGAGCAAAAAGCCACCAATGTCGAAGCACAGTTGTACAGTTCGCCACGGATCTCGTGCACCTTGCTGGCACCTTCCCAGAAGCCTCATTCCGCGCGCGAGGCCGACAGAATGTTTCTGAACCGCGGTTTGTGGCTGGCTGCCCTTCTGACGCTGCTGGGGCATAGCTTGCGGGGAATTGAGCCAGAGGTGTACAGGGGATTACAGGGGTATATAATGTTTAAGTGTGTTTTTCCTCTGAACCGCTTTTCTGATGCCGGGTTTCTATCTGTCCAAGGGAGGAAACCCGAAAGCAAAAAAGAACAGGATCAAATGGACTGGACCTGAAAAAGGCCCGAATGAAACTCAGGAGTTAGTGGTGAGATCACAGCGAACGGCAGGTGGCGGATGCAAGCAAAGATCGACCCATGACCAGTCCCAGTGCTCCAAACAAGGATTGGCGACCGAGTGTGGCGAAGTAAAACATAGGTGGCTATTGCCATTCACATCGCCAATTGGAGTCTATACGGCGGCTTTGTCGGGTTTTAGCATGATTGTTCCCATTAGTATTCAGTTACTGTTTCTGATTCTCATGCACCGCTACACCATACAATCCAGTCCCTTCTCTGATACTACCTCTTCACATCTCTTTATACAAATCTCTTCACAGCTAATCGTCATCATATCTGAACATATTCAAACTCATGTTTCTTTGTTTCGCAGGAATGTGTCAAGGGGGGCCGCAGTTTTAGAAACGTCATTAAACGTCTATTTTTTTGGTCTGGTAGTCTGGGGACGCACACACACCCATCGAACACCATGGCCAAGAGACGGCTGTAGGCCTGGTTGTTGCGAAACACCACCTAGGGCGTTCGCCCATGTTTGTGGGCGAGAACAAATTGGTCTCCGCACTGTTTAGCACAAGCTAGCTTGAATCGTTGAGTATCTGGAATCTGGTTCCTTCCTGCACCCAAAGTCATGGTCTGAGAATATTTAATTGGCTACTGAGGACTCCTGGACCAGCTTGCGGCTTGAAAGCATGTTTCTGATCTTCTGGTCTGTGGAATTAGGCAATCTTTGGCGACATGGTCAGTCCTGTTTGACCTCCTTTTTGAAACAATCATGACAGGAACACTCAGAAAGGCTCGAACATGGCTGTTTCCCACATCAAAACACATCAAACAGTCTGGCTCAGTGACGGCCCTTTAACCAAAATCAACAGGTCCTGCAGTGGCCCCGGCGCACTTGGAGACCCAATTCGTATCTTCAGACTCTACGGAGGAATGGGAGGAGAAAACTGTTTGTCTTTTCAGGAGCGAAGGAGGAGAAGAGTATCTTCAAACATCCAACAACCCTCAGCTGACAGGTGGGAAAACACTTAGGACATGTCCTGCGATTCATACACCACGACGACATATTATGTTGCGAACATTTAAAACACCTTCCACCACTTTCGGGTTCCCCCATATGTGTTTTTCTTTTTCTCCGCCATGGTGCTAAGAAGCCCAGCGAGAAGGTGTAGGCTGTCCAAACATCACCTGAAAGAAGACTCCATCACAAGAAGGCCCTAGCCTTCTTCATCTGGTGTTTCTTCACCACCACCAAGCATCGCCAGTGTTATTGTGTGGCCATTGTCAGTCGCTGATTCTTATGAATCTGTGCCACGAGAAAAGAAGTGGTGATATAAATGGCAATGCACATCCATCACGGTGACAACATGACCCCCTGACGCATTATCATCTTTTGTTGATCATGTTGCCCTGCTGAGAAGTCAAATCTTTTGGGCCCGGTGAAGTCGGTCACCTCATGATTCACCTGTGAAAGGTCAAACCTCACAGGGCCGCAGCTGCACGCTGCGGCCCGTCCTTCCAAGAATCCGTCAAATGGACCGCGGCTTTGTGTCCACGATTTACGTGAACAATCGTGAACTGTATCCAAATGTTTGTGGAGTTCTGTCGTATCAATGCCCACAAATGCAAAGGTACCGGGCCCCCCCAATGTTTACAGTAAACATTTACTTTTGTTTGGCCACACGTTGCAGGAAAGGCTTATGCATGGCAGTGCAAGGTGTATGTGGCAAAGGTGTTCATCAAAAGTACACCATGGTCCTATCTTGGCCATTTCATGCCATTCCCATCGTTCTGATGGGGTAGCCTTTGTTCTGGCTGGCGCTGCTTTTGGACGCTGTGCAGCACAGGGCAAAGACGTTTGCAAGAGAAGTCAAGGCTCCGCGACGGAATGTTTTACGTGTTCTGTCCTATGACTGTATATATATATATATATTTTAAATATATATATATATACTGTATATAGCATATAGCTTCACATAGTCGTCTTGGTTCTTCTGCGTCGGTTCTGCGAACCTTTCATGACAGTCTCAGCGCAAAAGCAACCGGAGAGGAAGATTGGTACACCTACAGTAATCTGCTATGGTTGTTGAAACCACCACCATGCAAATCTTGTGTGCACTGCAGCAAGTGCCTTATAGGTGATGGTGCATGCGAATTGGGTGGGACAAACGCTTCGTCAACATGTGTCTGTTAACATGTGGTTGCACACGCTGCGCAAAACATGGAGGCGCAATCGCGTCGCTCATGGCGTCGTTGGCGTCGGCCATGAGCGAAGGAACTGATGAGATGAATGGTATCCGTTCGGGGTCCAACGAACGGATCTTTGCTCGGCAGCAAGGCTTCGGATGGATGGATTTCTTGGATGTGGGCCTGGCTGCCATTGTTCCTATAGTGAATCTTTACCCGCTGTTGGTGAGACTGGGACATACACACAACCTTGCTCAATAGAAATTGTACCGGACATCGATAGTGCTTAAGGCTTATACCGTTTTGACCACCTATCCAGGCATTTTGGAGGTATTTGGTGTTTCCTTTCGTCCAATCTCTGCATCTTTACACTGGTGATCAATGGCGCATATAATTGGTGCAAAGCAAACCTGTTTGACAATCACCTTGCTTTCCTGTTCTGAAAGTGTTTGGGTTCTCTAATCTGCCTCTCTCTCTATATATATAAAAGACTTATGTGCTTTGTAGGCATTGTCGGCCTACGAAGAGGCCTCTTCACTCCATGCTCGTCGAAGCCGTCTCGGCGACGTCGAGACGGCGACCCCTTCACTCCAAGAGGCCGAAGCGACCGACCTCGTTGTTGTCGGCGCCCTTGAGGTCAGGATTCCAGGTGATGTGCAGGATAGCCGTGAGCAAGGTACTGGGCAATGCAAACAGAGCTCCTAGGGGAAGCACTGAGCCTCGATATCCTCAGCAATTTTGTGACAGTCAAGTGGACCACCTCGAGACCTTAAGAGGGAGAACAACCATGCAAGTAACAGGTGGTCGAAAAGCAAAGAGGTCTTTTCTTGCATCTCTGACTGCCTGGCTTGTCAGCATTGTCAACCTGCTCTCGGACCAATCTTTCAGCGTTCACCAATTGAGACTTACTATATGAGCCGTTCAAGCACTACTCAAAGACTTCGATGAGCCAATGCCCCATGGCAATTCAAACCTCAATCAACACGGGGCTCATCCACCTGAAAATCTCACGGTGAGTCGAGCTATTCGGCGATTCAGTGTACTGATGTGTGCTGTGCTTCATCCCATGTCAGCCATGCCAAGCATCTAAAGATCCGGTTAAAGAACTTCTTGGCTCCGATTCGGCAGTCTTTGCACCAACTCCGCTCACTCCGTTCCATCAGGCCCCCTTCCTGCTCCATGAGCTTGCCCCGGCGAGCGCTCAAGAAGCAGACCGACCGAGATGGCTCCCCGTCTCCGACCGAGCCGTGGAGGCCGCGTGGATCGATCGAAACGAGAGCACTGATGACCGGACCAAAAGGACCAGGATGATGTGCTAGGCAGTTGGGGTAAACATGTATTGAACCTTCTGCCTAGGTTAAGCAGTTCTTAAAGCATGGGGGGGTTCACAGACCTACACACCACCGAACCAAATGCGCAAATGGAACTTGAACATGTGAAGGCCGGCCCCAACCTGCCTAATAGGGAGCTTGATGGGCATTGTTCAATTGTTCAAGTATAGGGCCAACTGGTCGGATGGCGCCCCGATGTCGTTCGAGGAAGCGAAGCTGGTCGGTTCGACACGGTCGGATCGAAAAAGTGAACCACCCAAGAATTGCATGATGTTTTGATCAATGAAAACGAAGAAAACACATCATTGATCATTTTGGTCAATTATGTCAATTGATCAATTGATGGATCATGGGTCAATTCCATCTAAATGTCATGATCAATGATCTTAGCCACTGCCCCATGGATTGTAGCCGGGGCGGCTGATGAAAATCCACCCTTCGAAGGTCAGGGATCCCTTCGATCCGTCGTCGAATCCGGTCCCACCTTTCCAACTGCTTGGTCGCCTTGGGAGACCAACGGTGTGCATACAAAGCGTCAGAAAGACATAGAAAGACCGGTTTGGGGTGTGCATTGGAGTTGGCTCAATGGGATGATGGATCGATTTAGTATCATGTTGTCGATGTTTCACTTTATACAACTGCCTGGAGTGCAAATAGATACTTTGGGGGGATTAAAATTCATTCGGCCAGTTTTTTTGTGATCACAAGTTATTCTATAATATGCTTGGGGACTTGCTTGGCGTTCTTGTTGATGCTGTCTTTGTTGTAGACTTGTTGGGATGACATTGCCAAATCAGTGAGTATCAAAGATGCCCTTTGAATAAACAGAATGTGTACCAATTTGATCCGGCACTCGGGGCGGTTCAGGGATCTCCCTCTTCCACGCGTTGTCCAATGCCTGCTGAGCAGGTGGACTCCGCAAGCATCTACGAGGAAAAGAGCAAAACCAAAAGCCCACAGCTATGATAGGCAGTTGAATCTGAATGAGAACAGGTCGACCGATGATCTGTTTCCGAATCGTCACCGAAGTTTTTCTTCGCCTCGGTAGGGAAGCCAACTTCAGAAAGCATCTCTTCTAGGGTCTGGTGTGAAATATCAACCTTTTGTATATCTTAAGATCTTAGGCAATCTAGGAAAAGAGCCCAACAATGCTTCATCTGCAGTCCAAATCCTTTCAATTGCTCACGCTCTCAGGTAACTAGGCAACAAGTGGAACTTCTGATTCTCATGTTGCTGGCTCACTAGTCCTTAAAGGCAGAACAAGGAAAAACCCTGAGCGCTTCACAGTGCCGGAGTCATCAAGCACGACACCTGAGCATCTCTGTCGCAGTATGTCTCAGTGAGCTATGCCTCCATTGATGTAGAACAAATTAGTCCACTTGTTCAACTTTGGGACAACCAATTCCCCCAAAAAGGTCCCAACAGTTATACGTTTTTGTTGTGTGGCGGCCACTGACAAGGCATTTTCACACTTCACGAAGGCTCCATTCACAAACAGCCTTCTTCGTGGTACCTGTGGCCTGCTCTGCTCCAAATGCCTGTGGATTATGAGGCTCCAGTTCGGATGGTCGAACTGAGCACATCCGATTTGGGTGCAGGACCTGATAGTTGCCCTCCGAAGAAAAACGAAACAACAAGTTGGGCCAGCTTGCAAGCTGCCAAAATGGCAACCTGTTCCACTGGTAGACCACCAGCCCAAAGCGGATTGAAAAATCTGTGACACCTACATGCACGTGCAGAATAGGGAGACTCAACATGACTCATCCGGGCTTACTGTCAACTTTCCTAGCAGCCTTTTCGTCTGGAGATCTTGAAGAGTAGCGGCCTAGCTAGCCAGCGTCGGCATGGTCGCCATGTGGAAACTGAGGCTTCCCACTAGGTTCACTGACCGCCGAGCCCATAAGGGACACCTGACAGGACTCTGCAGCAAAAGGGGCAGGTGATTTGCTACAAATGCTTATGGTAGCATCACATCGGTTACGCATATAGTGATGTCATATGAGTCATATGTATATAAATTATCGTAAAATGCATGCTGACTCTTGCTGGGAACAGCATGGACTTGATTTAGGATGATTTAAGAACCCAGCTCTGAGGCAAAAAGAAGTTGTGTTCAGCTAAGTCCGTGCACAACTTTTGCCAAGAAAAAAGAAGCTGACACCCAACCATCTGGCCATCTGGTTCTGGCCCCCAGTGTGCACCAAGTGCTTGGTCATGGTCCAAAAGCTTACCACGCTTTCCCATGCTGCCAACGATTCATACAAGTGCAGCGACATGTTCACCAGCTCAATACCCGAAAGCATTTCACCAGATCCGGCGACCGGATCACTCGTGTGGTGGGCGTCTATGTTAAACGTGCCATTTGGCACGGGTATTGCATGCATCGTCAATCTATTTGATTGATAAAATGTTCGAGATGTTTGAGTGATGAGAGCCAGGAAAACAGGCAGGAAAACAGTATATAAACATGTTGTCTTGCGGTGTCAGCTTCATACAATGGCACGGTCTTCCCTTTCAGTCTCACAACCATCCACCAAATTCAAGGACCGAATGGTGACCACATCCCCACCTATATATAACAATTGTCAAGCATATAAGGAGACACATTTTGTGCAAAGCATTCCCCTCATCATCAACGACAAAGCATCTTATTCCCAAGACTCCACTCCCATCCACCTTTTTCACATTGCGACCCTCTTCATCGCAAGCTTGCCGAAATGTGTTGCCAACCAAACACGGCCAAGGTCCGCCCGTGCTGCGGCTGTTCAGCCGGCTTGCCGGGCTGAAAGGAAACCTGCAACATGTGGAGGTGATCCACAAAACAACAGCTCTCTGCTTATTCTTGGAATGCTCACAAACGAATTTGGCCACCCCCTGATTACAAAGACGAAGCAAACACCTTTCATCTTGGTGAGACCTTTTCTCGGCGAGGATGGAAAAGCCCAGCGGCCCAGCGGTCTGCACGCCTTGAGACAAGTCACAAACTATTCCATTAGATGACTGCTTTCATGCGACTGGGAAGCCTGCAGCCAGCAATTTGGCTTCAGCTTGTGGCGTTGGTATCGGCAATGAATCTTGCTTGGGAGTGGTTCTGGCATGCTTGGGTGAAAACCGCCAACAACAGGCTTCAAAAAAGGCATCTCCGGAGCGAACACTCAGCAGCCCTGAGACTTGATTCGATTCTGCAGCCGCCAGCGGACGGACTGGACCTTCAAGAAAGCTCCCTACAAATGGAAACACATGGTATCATTACAGTAAGTGTTATATAATGACGACAGGGATGTTCAACTTGCTGCTTCTACAGTAACTGTTGTATAGCCACTTCTGCCACTTCTTCATCTTGGGACAGCCGACGCTGAGCATTTCCTCTGGCCGCTACTCTACTGACTTTCAGTGTGCAACGCGGCTTTCCAATGACCAGCGAACCCAAGCAAATCGCTTTACTTCGGTGACCCAGAATCCACGTTCAATACGAAAGCAGGGATCAGTCACAGCCCGTCAAATCCACGAGTTTTGACGTTGACATCTATGCCGGGCATCCATGCCCCGAAGCAGTTACTGAAAGCCCTTTCCTACGTCTCAAAGTTTCAAAACAAAGCACCCGCGTTTTGCGGAGATCTGCATTCAGAAATGTCGGGCGTTCATCGCAACTCAACTGAGCGTCTTGTTGTGTGCCTCGACACTTCTGCTCCTGAAACGGTATCCTGACACTGACACAGGACCCCCAGCCCTCAATGCTGAAGTGCAGCCCTTTGCGCAGCAGCAGTCAATGTCGCATCAGGGTCATAAGCCGGCGCAAAGAATCTCAGTATCTGCGCAACGTGGTCAAAACAGCATTAATATGAATGGGGGCAAAGGTGATCTGACCTGATTGAACAGTCACCTACAGTGGTTTCAGAGTAGATGGCACAAAATGTCCTTTAGATGGGGGCCCATATAAACCACCTTTTGGGTACTGTGCCATCTACTCTGACACCACGGTAAATGATCCTAAATGGTTCACCTACGCACCGGACGCCTTGAGCACACGGCTGAACTTGAATACCCACGTTGCACGTTCCAACTTCTTCAAACAAGCACCACTAATATCAAAAAAAACAACATGTCACCACTACCATCCTCATCTTCGACTACTCACCAGTTCGCGACTTCAACCAAAAAGGCAAGTTGATCCATAGCTTCCGCAGACCCCCAGTCCCCAATCCGAGACCCACCAATAACAAACCTCCGCCATCCTGCTCCCAGCCTACCCCAGCTTTTGTTGCCTCTCCAACAGCCCACTCTCAAGCAGCACCTGGCCTCACCGAAGGAAAGCGGAGGAGACCTCCGAGTAATAGGAACCCGAGGCTCCGCTGACGCCGCTGGCTCCGCTCGCTCCGGTGGCGGAGACCCCGGTCACACTGCCCTGGCGGATGGCGAGTACGAGCCACTCCACAGCGGCGGAGTTCCAATTTTTGTACTATGACTATATATGATAGTGACACGCGGAAGTACCATGATAGTGTCAACCATGTCACGCACAATCATACCTAATAAGCTTGGAAAGTGTTGGACACTCCATGTTTAGTGTGCAATGAGGAAAAGTCTGGAAAAATAACTTGAACATCTGGAGGCTAAGGAGTATTATTCCACTTCGGCCCTGGATACTTCTAGTATTAGATACGATCCAGAAATCAACTCCCTTGCACTGACTATAGATTGTGCATGCAAAAAGGTGCTTAGGCACCACTTTGCCTACCAGTGGTTGGAAAACAGCAGGAACGCTCGTCGGGAGACTTGCATGCATTAAGCGTGTGGGCACATCCCTTATGCCATCTTCCATTTGGATGGTTGATCTGCAAACCATTCCAAGTGGCGTCACCTCCACAATCCTCTACCTCACCGCTGTTCCGTGACCCAACAAACCCCGCCTCCCACCCCCCGCGGACCCCCGCCGGACTCGGAAATTCGAGCCTCTGAGGTCATTCGGTTCGGCCTGTCCTCCACCGAGCGGACACTGGATGTATGCGTCGGGACGCCGAAGGCTTTGCTCTGCGCCATCCGCCTCCGCGCCTGGGGCGGGACGGTGAGCAACGGAGAGAGTCACCGTCGCAAACCAAAGGAGGGTGTCTATAGAGTCCATCCCCCCTCCCCAAAAAGGCTTTTCCAAGCTATAGCTCACTGAGCGCCAAGCGGAAAAATGGTGAAAGCAACGTACTATGAAGAAATGAAACATATACATTTGGGAGAGAATGGATCTGATTCCGACCTCAAAAACCAATTCAGGGAGGTTCAGGGACCTTGAATAGTTTCCCATCGCAAATCAGGATGCAACATTATCTTTTGGTTTCTGCATAAGAGGGAAACCTCACCAAAATATACCAAACTTCTTCATGGCGGCCCATCTATAATATGTTGTGCTCTTTCCAATTGAAGGCACTCTGATGCACTTGGGCTCGGCAACATCTAACCAAACCTCAACTCTTGGTCATCAAGTCTGCTTGACACTTCACATGGGGGTCGTATGGCACTTCACCTTGGCAATTCCTATAAGGGTTTCGCGTCGGCATGCCCATGCCAAAGCCCCCCCCAAGAAATGCCATTTGTCCATGCAAATGGCAAGAGAAACATCAACTACCCGCCCCTTTTCTCTATCACTGCATTGAAACGGGTTGAGCTGTAGGAGACGATCATTCCCTATTCTGGACCTTTGGGTATGTTGATTGGTTGACTGACTGATTTTGATTAATCAACAAAGACTATCCGAACTGTGAAGCCACGTTGGCAACGCTGAACTCTCGCCGTTACGGACAGGTCCTGCAGTGGCGACACTGCCCATGGTTGCTCACTTCCACCGAGCAAATGGCACTGAAAGCCAGCCCGGTTACAATGGATCATGTCCACACGCGTGTGTCGGGGCAAGTTGCTCGATTGAGTGGCTGGTGCATCTGGTGGTTTTGGGGGGGAGAAAAGCAGTCCGCGAATCTCTGCTTGTGTGATCCGCTGGGGTGAGCACAAGCGGGGGAGCAGGCGTAAAGCATCGTAATGCATTCTTAAAGGGACTGAAACCAATCCAAATGGCTTGAGTCATGTAAGCAATCTGTCTGAACTCATGCCTTCCCAAGCGAGAATTTAGCACTGCCTCTGCCAGAAGCAATGTCCCCTCTTCCTCTGCTTTGTCCCTGTTTCCTCTTCGAGCAGGACACACACGGGCTTCTTCTGGTCGCCCTGAACGGCCGCCTTCTGGCAAGGACGGCCGCCTTCTGCGGTGTCACGGTGTCGGAAAAAGGAGGCGCTGTCGGGCTAAAGGGGTAACTGGATCCTGGCCATCTAGCTCTGGCGTGGGTCTTGCCTGGTTAGTAGCAATTAGCAGTTGCCATCCTTTCTAGGAGTCCTCTCCCTGTGCCTTGAAATGACACACAATTTGTCACTGGTGTCTCTAACCGAACAAACAACCAACCAACCAAGCAAGCAAGCAACCAACCAACCAAGCATACAATGCATACTGCAGCAACACCAACGCTGCAACAACACCAACGCTGCATGCAGAACATCTGAAGATGAAGATAAGCACGCCAAGAATATAGTGGCGCTGGTGCTGAATTGCATGTGTGAGCTGCTGAATTGGCCCCCCGCGGCAGGTACTGCACAAGCGACGGGAGGCGTGCCCACAGTACCTCACGATTCCTTGTAGAAATTGCGTCATTGTCATTTCATTGCTTGGCATCTTACATTATGGCAACATGATACTTCAGGCTTGGATGAATCTTGGTCTGTTGTCATGGCTTATTATTGCATGTGGCGGTTCTTTGAAGCGCAGCGTGGCATCCTATCCTGAGTGCTGGCAGAAATCCCCATGGCTCAAGCAGATTCCTGGAAGATAACGTCCCCTAGGGCCAGGGCCCTTGCCCACATGCCATCTCAATACAAGGGCTCACGTGGCATGCCATGTGGCAGGCGCTTGCCATCCAGAATTCCAAGCTAAACATCGCTAAGATATTTGAGAATATGTGAGACATGTCATGTCACGTCCATTTGCCATTTACCACAAACTCAACAATCTTCTGACAGCACAAGTGAAAACCATCTATTGTTAGGTCAGCTTGGTGGCCAACCACCTAGCACAATCAACAATGAAAAGGAGCCAACCTTTCTTCATCGGCCTTCCCGAAAAATAACGATGGAAAAGGAGGATGGTGCCTTACTCGTGGGTTCCTTTTTTGGCCCGATTCCAAAGCACTCGGAGTCGGCACCTCGTCAATGCCCAACTTGGGTGATTTGGCGTTCCTTTTCTTCTTCTTGTCAAAGATGTCCTAAGCAAAGCTTCTTTGATGGGACAGGGTCAGTCCCAATCTCTGCTGTATCTTTTTCCTTATTCACGTGATGAAGTGGAACAAATCCAAAAGAGCTGCAACGGCAAGGTTCTGCCATGTCCCTGCAAGCTGCCACAAATCCAACACAACATCACCCTGAAAAATCATCATTTGCAGAATCCCGACGTCCGAAACACATGCAACGCATCTCAATCACATCCTTTGTTTACTCCGTTAACCGGTTTCCTTGCCCCACAATGTGCCAAAAGGATATTGTCCAAAACCCTCTTTCAATATCGTTCAATCCTTTTTCAACTCTTGGATGGAGCTCCATGGAGCTCCTGCATGTGCAATTTCACCAGCACTTTCTCCAATTTGTATGCAGCTCTGGAGTCAGATGGAGTCAGGTCAACAAAACATCCCAACGTCAATCGCCATCATCCAAGCAACTGAGATCTCGCTCCCACTGTCGTTGCGGCTTCCTGGGTGCATTTGATCAACCCCAACACCCATCTGGCATAAGGACAACTAGTTTTTATCAACAACAACTCTAACCCCCGTTGATTGGGGAATCACCATTGGCCAATTGGCCCTGGCGGAACATGTCTTGCTGCTTTTCTAGCTCCAAGGGTCCGTGTTCCACTACTGTATGCCGTTCACAGCCAACATAAATAATTGAACACCCGAAAAAATATTGGATCATTTGTTGGGTCAAACAATCCATGCGTTTCATTAGGACACCATGTTGGCTCAAAGCAACAGCACCGCTGTTGACTGAGGGGGGCCCCACCAAATTGGTGGACTTCGAGCGTGCACGGAGTCAAAAGGCTCTGTGGCCAGCGAGTGCAAAACTCCCTTACTGATCACATTGCCAATTTTTGTGAAGGTATTCTTGCCTATACGTCCAAATTGTGTGCCTTAATCATTGCATGGACCCCCCTAAAAACGAGAAAACCTATGGGAATTGAGTGGACCAGCTCTCACTTCTTGGCCGTTTTCTTCGAGGTGAGGCTGGAATATGCTGGCATTGTTCGATGGTTTCTTCCTCAGTGAGTGAAGGCCGGAATTGCACTTGTAGTGGTGGAAGCAAGCATGGTTTCATACAACGCCTCTGCTGGGGTGTAAGCAATACTAAGTATTCAGTGCCATCCTTCGCCGCAAGGTTGTGGCGCCGAGCTAGGCATAGAAAAAAATGAAAAAAAACACATGTCTGCTCGCATGTCATTCATGAGGCTGGCGAAGTTGCGCAAGCATGAACAAACTGCTCGTATATTGTTTGATTTGGTTGACGCGGAAGGCGTCTTTCGATGCCCTAGTTGCAGATTAGCACAAGGATACCGTAACAACTAAAGTGGTTTCCTTGGCCCTTCTCAGCAAACAATAAGAAACATGTCAAAATTGTGATAAGTATGATAAGTGGCATGCGAATAAATTGACTTAAAAAGTGCTTGATGTGACATGTGTAAAGATTGTAAAGCACACACAAAATACCAAATGTGCACGCTGAGAGTCCCCCGTTCTGAAAAAATACTGTGCAAACATTCCCGCACACCACCCTACGCACATCACTTCGCGAAGAGAAGTACTTGCGGAGCATGTGCAACGAACGTTATTATCCCCGCCCCACCCCACACACACACATGGGGTAGCACATGACTTCAAAAAGCAAACGGCTCAAAAACGGACACGAGGCCTTTATCCGTGGTCTACCTACACTTTGCTAGTTTGATTGGTGCAATATTTGTGAAAGTCGGCTTGGTTGCCGCGAGGCAATATTTGGTGCGCTACAAACCCGCCGCAAGCAGGAAGAGATTGGAGGCTCCCTCGAAGACACACAGCTCCGGGAGGCTCCAACAGCTCTGGGAGGCTCCAAGAAAGTCAGATTTGGAGGATGTCCCACCCACATCGTGGTATGTGACCGTACGCTGTATGGTCAATCTTTCCACCTAGACAAGCAAAGCTACCTTCGCAACGACCTGGCCACCTGAGACATGAACATGACGAATGACTGCTAATTGTTCAGAAGGAACAGTGGAGAAAGTGAAGGCCCAAACCAGGCTCCAAAAATGTAGGTAGATGATTAATTAATAAGAACATGATTATAAGCCTTTGGGTCTATCCTATTACCCGTGACAGTGGATGATGATGGTTAGTAAAGACCTTGTTCAAAAATGATGATAATTGTTTACTGACTGTTACAGGTAAGAACAAACGGACCCAACTATTATATATACATGTCTGGAAAGGCAACGTCATTTGAAATAGCCTCAACATAGGCTGCCTCAAACAACAGCGTGCCAAAGCTTGCTTTGAAAGATCAATACTCAGCAAGCCATGGGCAAGTTAACCCGAAATTAACTTATCTTACGCGAAGGGCCGTATTTGGACAGAATTTCCCGTAATGGACATTGCTTCAGTGCTTGTCTTGCCTCCTTGCAAGGTTCTGCGTGCAACCTTGTGCCCTGGCCGGTCTAACTTGCCCATGGCTTGCTGAGTATTGATCTTTCACAGCAAGCTCTGGCACGTTGTTGTTTGAGGCAGCCTATGTCGAGGCTATGAGCGTATTTAGCTGGATGGACCCCACAAAAACACATACCGTACCAAACCGTACCCAATATATGAAACCCAAGTTCTCTCTCAACTTTCTATTGGAAAAACAAGCAATGGAAAGCAAACACAACCAAACACCACGGAGGAATTCCAACCGTATTTGTCCGTTTGACAGAAAAAGCCGGATGTTCGAATGTGTTAAAACAAAAACAATCCATATATATATATAATGGTATATAGAGGCAAGTAAGCTTGGACTCTTGCTTTATGTATATATAAAAGTATATTTAGAATATATAACTGTTTGTGACATCTTTTACAGTCTAAGACGGCCTTGTTGGAGAACAACCACCTTGCAGTACAGCCCCCCAATTTCGGCACCGTTTTCGTCGAGCCAAGCGGCGAGAACCTGGCAGAAAGTCGGTGTTTCTGCTCGTGTGTTTCGTCGTTCGAAGACGCTGCAGGGGGAAGCAAAGACTGCGTGTTCAAACACCCGACGTTCGCATGCGTTTTTGGGGGTATACAGGGTGCGTGACCGGACCCGTGTGGACCCAAAAATTAAACCTATGACGTGAAGTGGCCCCGTACAAAGAAAACAAGAATGCGGTTAGGATTTAACACATGCGGTTTATATAAGCGAATTTTCCTTTTTAGCGGGTGTAACGTGAATTGCCAGCTAGGCTATAACCTAGTGTATCACACACCTTGACCAAGGAGAGCAGGATGTAAATGCAAAACAGGACGAAGCTTCCAGAATGACTGCCAGCCCGCCTAGTTCGGATGCAGTCGCGCCTCAGTTCTTCGACGAGGAACCACCGTATGCAAACACTCACGACCTGTATGCGAGAACGGATCTTGAACAATATATAAGTTTCCTCCAACATGTCACACTGTTGATGCCAAAGCAATGAAAGGAAGCCTTGTCAAACTCACTTGACAGAAAAACAAATACATTTTTCCGCGCACGTACCTTTCGGCGCATATCATAGCAACAAATGGGGCTATTGGCTCCGTTAGTTGAGGGAGTGTCTCCCATGGATGGCAAGTAGCACACCGAATGATCCAAGAATCACTGCGCAAAATGCTAAGTTCCAGACTGTCAATTTGGTTGCTTCGTCTCTCGGTCTTCCATGCTTCGATGAGCTTGTCCAATTCTTTGCCAATACGATCCTAAGTCCATGAGAGTCGATGGGCCTCATGGGTCCCAAAATGTTCTGCCCTTTTCTTCGGACCGTTAGACCTTCTTCTTTGCCCTGATATGTTGTTTTCTCTCTCTCCCTCTCTCTCTCTCTCTTTCAAAACATCCTTCCGTGACTTCCATGTCGAAAATGCCCTGATCGTCAGTCGGTTGGTCAAAGCACGCCAAGTTTCAAACGATGGGGCCATATGGGCCCTATATATTCATGAAGCTATTCAATTCATCCGTATGACCCGTATGACGGTCTTCAACCGCCAAATATCCACCCCAATACAGCTATACTTCAATGTGGATGAAGTCAAGAAAAGCTAAGGCGCTTGGGGGTCGCTTAGGGGTAGGCTATGGCCATCCATGGCCATCCATGGCCCCATCAACTGAAGCCATAAAAACTTGCGCAGGACAACGTCTGTCACTCTCTGAGAAATGGCTCCAGGCCACTTTCCGAACGTCAAGAATTTGCAGGGAAAAACATCTGCCCAACGTTCAGCCAGGTGTCGACTTGCTGTCCAACGCGCATCAAATCCCTGGACTGGGCACCTGCCAGCAACTGGAACTGCCAGCAAGGTGACGCACCCCTTAATCCCAATGTTTGTGGAGCTCCCACGAACATGCTTGAGAGTTTTATATGTATATATATATATTACACTTGACATTATTCCATCAAAGCCAACTACCGCCTCTCCATCTGAATTCAAGTTCGGTAGTCCTCCAGTCTATACAGTGGAACAGCTTCAAACAAATAGGAACGAGTAGAGTACAAGTAGCAGGATCCGCCAGGTCCGGGTGGTAGACATTCCGCATCACATCCCAGAAACTGGTGGATAGAGTCAATAGAGACCCACGACATGGTCTCCGTTCTACCTTGATTTCGAGTCTTGTTTGTGGCTTCAGAACCCCCATTCTGCGAGGAGCAGGAACTTGGGACCTCCGGTTGTTCGAGACGGCCGAAGATTCGTTCTCTGTGTGAACTCGTCCTCTCAACAAATGATACGGGGATCTATGAGCATGATGAATTGACTATAGTTTTAAGCATCGTGTTGATTCTGTTTGCAACTATGCAGCGCCTGTAAATACTCTTTTAAATGAACAATCAATGAATGGTTAGCCTCCACAGCAAAAATGGCAATGACACACGGGACTTCCAAGGCTGCTCAAACATGGACCCAATCGCCATACTCGTTGCCGCCATTCACCGGCCCAACCCACAGGCCTCCTTTCATCCTTGCCAGGCCATGGAAGAACTCGGAAGTGTGGATACCTCCGTCCCCATCGTCCAGGAGATCGAAGAGCTCCTTCCGACACGTCCGGTCCGACCGGACCGGCGGAGACGGTGCCGCGTTGACGCGCCGTTCCATCGAAGCGGCGTGGTGTTCGGATGTTTTGGGGGGAAGAACTCCGAGGGGTGGTCTACTGGATGAAGTCTGAAGTGTTTTCTGGGTGGTCTCAACTGGTCTCAACTGGTTGTCTGACAGGTGGAATCTCGAAGAATCAGTGATGGTGATCAAAGATGATCAAAGTCTGTTGCAATTTGGATGCTCTAATGCCATGGTCTTTCCCATCGGGGTCATATGCTCCAGCACTCCATGTTGGTCCTCCCCGCTGGATCCAGGATGGGTGTCTGAGAGCGTCTTGGGGCGACGGTGTCGGTGGTTGTAACGAAGCTTTTTCGTCTCCAGCCACGGTAATTAGTGGTCGAATACATCAAAACAGTGAGAGCACGACAAAGCACATGTATATACCTAATGTTTATATAGACATGATAAACATCCATGAAAAGCCAAAAAGTCAGTCTGGTACACGCATCGGGTTGGCACACCATCCCAAAAGAAGTGACACCGATCTCCAAAACACCAACCACATGGGCAATGTATGGCAATGCGGGGGCCAAATGTAGCTCCACAACACCCTGAACAATCTTCCATCGGGTCCGATCAGCTCCATTAGTGGATTGCCGTGACCCAAAATGGTGAACATCGTTCCAGGCTCCTTACACTCGTCTGGCCCAAAGTCGAGCAGCCGCCACTTCCTTGGGAGGGCTTCGCAAGGGTCATGTGAAACATGATGCACAACAAATCCGAAAAAAACAGTCAGATTATGTCAGATTGAAGTACGACTGAATCCAAGAAAGCAATCACAACGCTCCAAAGCAACATAAAGAAACTCTGGAGGTGAACCACGATCCACACTGAATCTCTAATAGAGCCCGTGACAGGTGCAAAAGTTCACCGCCCTAACAAGTTTGGAACCCCCAAAAGATCCAAGAACCCTTCGAGGGCATTGGGGGACCCATGTCTGGCTTCGAAGGTTTTTGGGACTGCCGGTAGTTACCGGTAGTTGTCTTTTGTCAGGTTTGGTGAGAGGACCATAAGGACCAACGCCCGCAAAAAGCCAGGTTTGGATAGGTTTATGTTTAGGGGTGCCCACCTGCCACCCTTACTAGGTGTTCGAAGGTGTGCCTGTCAAACACCCCCACTGGACTACATCAGCCCAGCGAACGCCCAGCGAAGCCGCCCAGAGTTTTGAGCCACATCACCGGCTCATTTCTTCGTCCAAGAAGGCATTCTCGAACCTCGGCAGAAGAGGAAGGTGATGCGGAGGCCCATAAGGAACATCCACTGATGCTGGGCACCGTCTCTGGCGGAGGATTCAAACTCCTTTAAGATTGTCATTATCAATGGGGTCCAAAGGCTGCAGCCAGGAAAAAAGCACCCTTTCGGAATCCTCAGTATTGTCAAAACCCTTCAACACCAAAAAACGGATCATGATCAAAGGTTGTGAAGTAGCATGTCCCTGGATCAGGGACCCAGCAAAACAATTTGATGATTTCATTGTTCTCACCAGGCTCGAAGAACACGAGGACTAATAATAATATGACCGAAAAGAACCTTATTAATCAATCCTTATTATATCTATATATAATTACAAGAATGTGACACATAATCATTACTTAAAACCAACAAAAAGAATAATCTTCGTTCATTCCCCGAGGAAAACATCTTGGTTCCATGTCCCTGACTTTCTTGGCCAACCTGTGACAGCCACCCGACTTGGTCAAGAATCTCTTCCCAGTCAAGCGTGCCATCCCGTCCGCATCCATGAGGTAGAAGAGGTGCCTCGAGAGACGGTGATATAGAAGAACTAAACCTAGAATTATTAAGAATGTTTCACCAGGTTGATTGCTTGGCCAGTTCTGAATGTCTCACCTGTGCTAAGAAAAGGCATCGATGTCTGATCTGGCCCCTCGAAGAAAAATGGAAGTGGACACCACTTTTCCTCTAGAATCTAGAAAGGCTTAGGCTTCCATGATTCCCCTGAAGGGGGGAATTGAGGTATCTGCATGGAACACCATGCACACAAACCTGTTTTCAACATGAAACGGTTCTGACAAACCAAGCCGTTGTCACACGTTGGTTGATGGTGTGCTCAGGAATCGTTGAAGAAAACCCAGGCTCTCGTGTGAAGAACCCAACAAGGATTCACAAGGGCACTCACGCCCCCATTATATATGATTATACATGGACACACGCGCACAAAAAATATTAGGCTATACATATATGTATATATTTATATACATATACAGTATATATATATATATACACATGCAGTTCATCAAAGGCGACTTGTGCACCAACGAAGGGCACATGTTATTAAGGAGGGGACAACATAAGCACAAAGGAGAGAAAGAGAGAGAGAGAGACAGAGAGAGAAACAAATAATGTTGGAGAAACTGAGGGAGATTGACAAATAAGGCAGTCTTGCAGTAATTGGCTGGGCGGGATGTTGATTTTATTTTTTGCAAGTGTAGTTTAACTGCTTCCATCATGTCATGTCCAAAAGGAATGGCCGAAACGTGTTGGTTCTAGAAACGTATCAGTTCCATCAATTGTTGCTTTAGAAGAACAAAGCGGCAATACTCCAAACCCGGCTGCAACGTAGAACCACCCGTGCATCGTTTGGCCCCGCGGAATGAAATCATCAAGACACTCCAACTCCTTGAGCTCTTTCTTCTTAATATCTTCCATCCTGAAAAGTGGCTCATGCACATGGGTGGGCATTTGGGGGTGCCATGTCCGTTCAACCTGAGGGCTGGCCAACCTGCGGTTGAATCAATCGGAACTTGGATGTCTGGAAGCTCCTGGAAACAGCCCTGCCGTCTCCAAGAATTCACAGGGTCATTTCTGTGCCACATGGTGCTGACTTGCAAATATGAAGCTCTGGGGGTGGTGAGTGGTGGGAGAATGAGGACTGAACGCCTCTAAGCCCCAAGTGGTGGGTGCGCGGGCGTGGAGAAGAGTTGTTCCGGTCGAAACTCGCAAATGATGGCCCTTGATCTAATGGTTAGCCCCGTGATGAACACGCTGGGTACAACGTCCTCGTGCATCTGTTGACCAACGCTCAAATTAGCCATAACTAGCCTAAAATTACTGTACATACAAATATACACCAAAACAAGAAATGACATTGACATGCTTTTAAAGATTTTTTAAGCATACAAAGGCGCTTGAACAAGGTAAGATCACTTGGCAGTATGCTAGTAGGCATTTTGAGCTTTTGAGTTTTGTATTCAAACATCTGGGCATGGATGTTCACGAAAAGAGCCTTTACTGCTCTAATACAAAAGAGCGTAGCCTTTGTCTAGCGGCCTATAAACATGGCAATAAAGACAAGAGGCTGTTTGAGCTTCTCATTCTCATCCATCTTGGACGTCGACATGGCGTTTTCAACCTTGCTTGCAGCCCAGTGTGGAGACCGAAAAAACAAAACAAAGAAGCCACCCAAAATCTTTGGTGAGTTTCCAGCTGCCCTTCGTTTTGGTGGACAATCAAAATCACACCCCGTTATATAACTGTTGCCTTGCAAATTGCTAGCTTAGAAATCTCAAGCCTGTGGAAATGAAATCCAACGCATAAAGGTCATCATTGGCATTGGCTGTGAATCCCTCCTCTTCAATCGCCTGTTTGAGACCTGATATGCACTGTACACAAAATGATTGGGTGCAATAAAGCTCTCTCTCTCTCTCTCTCTCTCCGTGTAGTAAGTTGTACAGGAGATGTGTCAGTGCCAGTGGTCCAAAACAGCTCTGTTTCTTCCTCATGGCAGCTCTGTTTCTTCCTTCTCTGCCCAGGTGCGATAATGGCCGTCACCAAGTTCATGAGAACAAAGACGGCTACTGCCTCGTTGTGCATTTTCTGGCACGCAAAAACATTCAGAACACCCTCGCTCAAATCACGAAGACATGTCTTATTCCCCCCTTTTTAAACTACCACTTGGGATTTAAGGCAAGGGTGTTGTGAATGCATATTCATCACATCCATGTTCATAGACACTTAACTCCTCTCACCAAAAACCTTTGAAATCCTTCGAAGGATTCCGGGTGAATACATAGTTCCTAGAATGCTGGTGGAACTCTCATTGTGTCACAAGACTAAATAAACCTCGCAGTGTAATCGAGCAGGGCACATGATCTCTGTCTTAAACGAGCACGCCTGTCTCAGCAAGACCTGTGTCCTAGGCCCTAGGCAACTGACAAACAATCATGTGAAGCAACTATTCCAAAACAGTTGATCTCCGAGGTGCAATGTACATGTAGAAATATATGATGCATCCATTCGCATACCTCAGGAATAACACAGCTTGCAACAGCTCCACAAACCAAAACACATTGCACTGTAATGTTTCTTTGCGCAACAAACTCCGGCACGCGTCGTTGGTCAGTGGCCTCAGTGGCCCCGGGACCTGCATCCACTGCATCGAAAGACGGGCATCCACTGCATCGATTCTAGGTAACAGCCTTGACATATCAGCCTTGTCCAAGTCTTATTCGGGACCCGAGGACCTGCCACCGAGTTTAGGATCTGCCTGCGTCCACAATCGTCCAGGTTAATGCCACCATTCATAGATGGACACAACAGGGTTAGACATGGGTTTGCAGAATTCTACCCACCTTTGACTCGGCAAACTGAACGCATCAAAGGCTTCCTGCAATGCATCCGCAAACAAAAGCCTGACCCAAAATCCAGCAAGGGGGAAACCAAAGCATTGATGTGCATTGTCCAGCGCTGAGTGCAGTTTAATCAGTTGGTGTGCTTTGCTAAGACCCATTCTGATCCATGTGTGCCAAAGAAAGGGCATAGCCCAATTATTTACTTGTTTCCATTTGAATCATGTCCTTTTCATATATGAATCATTGTAGTTTCTGCTCACGATGAATGCCATAGACATTGAGTATATGTCTCTTATAAGTTATATATATTACTATCTTATTCCTTTGTCCTCTTTCACATTCTACCTTGCCACACCTTATGAATGGTTCTATCTCCTTCCCCTTTATCAATCATGGTGTCTTGAGTTCTTCAAACAATCTATATAAGGATTAATAGGTTATCAACTTGCAAAAAAAGCGGTCGAGATGGTTGCTACGATAGTAAAACAAATTTACACCTGAGGACAAATAGTTCCACATCTAAACAGTAACGTTCATTCTGTCAAATGTATCTATGGTATCAGTCTTTCATCTACAAAATAACATCCAAACAATATTGCAGTAGAATAATCTACAGGAATGACCCCCGGAATTACATTGTTCAGGGACTTATTCGTGGATGGCAAATAACTTATATCTTATCTAGTGTTTTTGATTGATGTGTTTAATCCGTTGACCAAGGCCAAGTAACATACTGGCAGTTTTTGGTTGTTTTCTCTTCCAAACTCCAACGTTAGATTTATAGTTGTATAGTATAGTCTATTATTGTCTAGTAATCCAGAATATCTCTGCAATGGTTGTGGGCTGCTGGGGGCTCTACGCACCCTTGGAACCCCTCGGAGTAGCTGCATGGAGTGAGCATCCCTCCTCAACAAGGAACAAATTGCTACTGCGATTGCTACTGCTGCTGCTACCCTGAGGTGCGCCGCAAAATGCCAATGTTCCAAGACGTGCAACTGGGAAAATGATGCAACTGGTACCACTGCATCCAAAGGGTCAAGCGCTTCACCGTTTCATCGGGCATCCGATTGATCAATCCGAACCGAGGCACGGGATGATCTGGTCCATCTTCGAGTTCCAAGAGTCCAAGGTGAGGAACTGGATCAACAACCTGCGTTTGAAGGTTCGAACAAAGTAGTTTTCAACATTAAATTATGTATCACTTTGTTCAACTTTTTTACATCAACAACCTGCATTAGAAGACTTTGTGGCCATCTTTTCCTGCCTATTAACAGTCCTTAGGTTCATGGGGCGGCCCGGTCCGTCCGGATGGCTAAATTCAACCCCACCTTCTTTTTGTTCAGTCCATTGAATCATTGGTGGTGAGAATAACTGACTGCAATTCTTTGGGAGGGCAGGGCTAGGGTGGACTAAGCTGCCCAAACTTGCACTTGGGCGGGAAAAAAACCATCGCATCGACCTGACCCGTAGTGCTAGCATGTTCTCAGTCTCAAATGCACCAAATGCCCGCTGATGCCATGATTCATGTCCTTTCAGGGCGCACGTGAACACTCTTGGCCCCACACATCTGGACAGCAAGAAAAATAGGCCGGCAGCGCCGACACCCAAACAAACCCTTCCAGCGGTAGTTCCGAGATCTTCCAATGGCAAAAGGCAACAACTAATATAACTTAATAGAAATAAAACTAAATAAGTTACCGTGATAACCTGCTTCGGCAGCATTCAGAGCGAACTCAGTTCCTGCCATCAGTTGGATCCAAAGTGCTTAAAACTGCTTAGACAGAATGGCTCAAAAAATATTCAGGAAGAGAACATCTAGATTGCAAAAAACATATACTGAGGAGCAATGACTTAGGACTTGTTGGTACCAATGACATGGGCATAATGAAACGTATATCAGTGGGAGGTCGCCTTCTGTTCGTTCATGTACAAGTACCTGTGTGGAACGCCAACGCAGGCTTCCACCAGCAACCGTAGACGAAACCTTCTATGGAAATAGGAAATAGCGGAGGGGAAAACACAAAACAGGTCCAAATCTAAAGGTCTTAAGGAGAACAAAACAAACATACACACAGAATGTCTTTCCACTTATGCCTAAACGCGGAAACTGCGGCTGCAACGGAGTCGCTGCATCAGTGGCCCAATGCCCTTGACATAGTCATAGACTCCCAGCAGCTTCGCCAGCTCATCCTCCTGCGGGCGTTGTGAGGTAAATTATCATGCTGAAAAATACTAAAGAACACGAAAAAAAACATTGGCGAACGTGCACCCTCCGTCTTCCAAAGAGGTGGTATATACAAGCATGGAACAGTTCACAGATACCAGTTGTTTCTCCGCGCCCGGTGTGTTCGATCCAAAAAAAGTTCCTGCCTCCTTTCCAGGAATTTGTGCCAGCATCTCTCGGCTGATGGTCTGACACCCGAGGATCGCAAACAAATACGTCAGAACCTGAGCGAGTCGGGCTGAGAAACCCTTTGGTCGGCCCTAAGCCTAAGCAACCTCCATGGTTATGGAAGTGCATCCTAAGCAACATCCAACGTTGCAAGGTGGTACCCATGCCAGCTGGCGGACATCAACCATAGGCATGTTCTTAGATTTCCAGGTGTCCAGCACCAAAGAAATATGATCTGCGTGCCCGCGAAGATCTACCCCAAACTTGTGGCCCAGAGGGGGGTGGCGAAAGCTAGGCAAATAAACAACGCTGGGGCTCTTTAGGCAGCAAAAGCCTGGCCGGGAATCGCAACATGCCATGGCCAAGGGAAAAGGAGAGTGCCAACAGCGCCCCCCCAATACGACCCCAACACAGCCAACACATGGCAACACACAACCACCCCAGCAACCGCCGCAGCAGCAGCAGCAACAGCCACAACAACAACAACAACAACCGTAACCAGCAGCGGCAGCGGCAGCAAGCAGAAGCTACCAAGCAGCAGCAGAAGCAGCAGCAGGAGTAGCTAGCAAGGAGCAGCACAAGCTACCAAGCAGCAGCAGCAGGAGCAGCTACCAAGCAGCAGCAGCAACTACCAAGCAGCAGCAGCAACTACCAAGCAGCAGCAGCAGCAGCAGCAGCAACAGCTACCAAGCAACAGCAGCAGCAGCTACCAAGCAGCAGCAGCCAGCAGCAGCTACCAAGCAACAGCAGCATCAGCTACCAAGCAGCAGCAGCAGCAGCAGTAGCAGCAGCAGCAGCTACCAAGCAGCAGCAGCTACCAGGCAGCAGCAGCATCAGCAGCAGCTACCAAGCAGCAGCAGCATCAGCAGGAGCCACCAAGCAGCAGCAGCACCAGCATCAGCAGCAGCTACCAAGCAGCAGCAGCAGCCAAGCAGCAGCCAAGCAGCAGCAGCAGCAGCAGCAGCCAAGCAGCAGCAGCGGCCAAGCAGCAGCCGCAGCAGCAGCAGCCAAGCAGCAGTAGCAGCCAAGCAGCAGCAGCAGCCAAGCAGCAGCAAAGCAGCAGCAGCAGCAGCAGAAAAGCAGCAGCAAAGCAGCAGCAAAGGCAGCAGCAGCAGCAAAGGCAGCAGCAGCAGCAGCTACCAAGCAGCAGCAGCAGCAGCAGCTACCAAACAGCAGCAGCAGCAACAGCAGCTACCAAGCAGCAGCTACAGCTACCCAGCAGCAGCAGCAGCTACCAAGCAGCCCCAGCAACAGCAGCTACCAAGCAGCAGCAGCAACAGCAGCTACCATGCAGCAGCAGCAGCAGCAGCAGCTACCCAGCACCAACAGCAGATACCAAGCTCCTGCTGCTGCAACAGCAGCTACCAAGCAGACCAAGCAGCAGCAGCATCAACAGCAGCACCAAGCTCCTGCTGCTGCAACAGCAGCTACCAAGCAGCAGCAGTATCAGCAGCAGCAGCAGCAGCTACCAAGCAGCAGCAGCATCAGCAGCAGCTACCAAGCAGCAGCAGCAGCATCAACAGCAGCTACCAAGCAGCAGCAGCATCAACAGCAGCTAACAAGCAGCAGCAGCATCAACAGCAGCTACCAAGCAGCAGCAGCAGCAGC